GTGCGGGGAGGGGGCCCAGCCCCTCCGCGGGGCGGAGGCGGCGTTTGGGGAGACCCCTGGGGACGTGGGGACAGGCCTCCCCCCACCCCAGGGCTGCCTCCCTGCGGAGGATGCTCCCGGCGGCTTGGGGAGGCTCTTCCTCGGGGTGGGGGGCTTGCATCGCAGCTTGGCGTCCAGAAAATTGTAGGGTCCTTCTTTGGGAGGCTGAAGAGCCTTGATCCTAAAAAGCAGCATTATCAGTTTGACTTAAAAAAAATTATTTAAAAAAAAAAATCTTTTTTGGAGAAGGGAGATAATCTGTTATTAATATTGCATCGCATAGTTATTCCTAAATTTAGCTTGCCTTCATTTTCTGGACTAATCACTCCAGTAGTCGATTTTGTGTGTCAGCTCTCCGAAATTAGCTCAGTGCTGCAATATTTGGGTTGCAAATACTGCAGGGGAAGGTTCGCACTCCAAGATGTTCCTCTGAATTACTCAAAACAAAAGCCCTAAGGACAGCCTTTGTAAACCCTGGTAATCTGGAGGTTTCTTGTAGCCTGTTGGGAAGCCCTGGGTTATTAACTGGTGGTGTTCTCCCCCCGGTGATGGATAGCGTTCCCTTTGGTTTGCTGTATTTTCCTGCTCAACCTAGCTGTGGCAGAGATGGAGGCCAGAGGAAAAAAAAAAAAGGTAGTTGGGATTCTGCAGGGAGATTCCTGCATTGTCTGACGAGCTGCCTGTCCTTTGGGGCTGGCAGGGGCACTCCCCTTTTAGAGTTTTTAGGCTTAAAATGCATTTTCCTCCTTTCCCAGCCTTGTATATTTTTTTTTTTTCGGCGGAGCAAATTTAATCCTTTCCTATTTTTTTGGAGGCAGCCGGCATTTCTCGGCCCTGTGGCCTGTGAAGCGTAGCTGAATTTCTTCTGTCCAGGGTAACAGGACTGCAGTGTGCTCTTTGCATACTCCAGTCATCAGCTTTTGTAACAGATCTCTTGTGCATTACCTGGGTTTAGAGAGGTTTTCTGGGCAGGCGTATGCAGTTCCAGTAGTAATTTCTGGCCTGTTTGTTGACTAACGTGCCGTCTGCTTTCAGTGCATCTTCTTAAAGCTTGCGTGCCTTGATTGCTCTGTACGTTGTGGCTGGAGCACCTACTGGATCTGGATGGAAAAAGAAGCTGACCTCTTTTTTTCAGTCTAGAATAGTAGATGCCATCATGGCCCGGGGTTGTTTTTGTTTTTGCGGTTGGTACCAAGGAGATGGGAGCAGCGGTGCTTCAGAGGAAGTTGTGCTTGGTGGTGGCTTGGTTAAGGAGGATACGTGTTGGGTGTGGGTTATGTCGCCAAAAGCTCAGATACTTCTGCTTTTTAATGGATATGTGATTTTTTTCTTAGGGAAGAGGAGACCTGTGGGCCATTTAAGTTCAGTCTTTCTACTGATATGTAGTTGATTCTGTCTATTCTGCTTTTGCTCGCTTGTGTACAGCAAATTTTCACCCCAGAGTCTGTATTCAGGTGTGAGTGCTTGCACGCTCACGGGGATTGCATAAACCAAATAAATTCAATGGAGCAAAGGGGGCCTCTTCGTAGGCAACCGCAGATCTTATTCTCACCACCCCTCCTGCTCTTGAAACAGGTTTTTCTCCTGATGCTTAAAAACAAAATTTGATTAATGCATATCGACACATATCACACTAGTATTATATCTGCAGTGTGTCTTTTATGGTACGTTCATTACTATGTAATTGGAATGATTTTTCCAGTCTTCTGTGACCTTCGCTGATCAGATGGGCATCGCACATTAAGCTCTTTTGGGGCAGATTGGCTTTTTCATTTGCGGCCTTGAGCGCACTTTTGCATGCTTACAGAGTAGTACTGTGCTGTTTTAAATTTAATTCTCGCAGTCAGAGTAGATTAGTCAATTGGATTTCATTATCATGAGCTAATGGGGTGTTGCAGCGTTTGTCAGCAATCCTGTAAAGATTGGTACCGATGTTGTCTTGTTTGTTTTTGCAGGGAAAGGATTCTCTGTCCTGGCATGTTTGTGTGTACGTACCTGTATATAAATACGCATCTTGGGTTTCTCTTATCTTGCTGTGAACCCTTTGATGATCGAGTTTTGGAAATGAGCTCCAAGTGGAAAACAGGCCTTGTGCCCGTCTCCTGACGGTGCTGTGAGGGCCCGCAGAAAGTTAGGTGCGCGCACGAGTTTCTAACGCAGGCTTGGGATCTTGCAAAGACGCGTGCGTGTTTATAAACCGGCCGACGGGCAGCCCCTTCGCCCGGCAGGCGGGTGGGCCTTGGAAGTGGCGCTGCTCCAGGCTGCAGGTAACTTTGTATTGGAAACACCGCGTTCGCTAGATGTATTGGAGTGGTTTTGTACGCTGCTGTTGTTATTTCACACCAAGAAAATCACCATTTTGCTTAGCTCGAGAACCAGCAGAACACGGCAGCCTTTTTGAAGCCATCAGGCCTTGTAACCTGACCAACAAGCCACCTACTCAATATGCAGCAATGCTTAAGCAGATAGCGATACGTTACATTTATTTCCTAAAACAACGGAGGCTTTTTTCCTTTCCAGGATGACCACTTGATTAAGGAGGTCACAACTAGCAAATGGTTTTTGTTTGAAATATTTGGCTACCAGGAAAACACTAAGCAGATGATTACATCGCTAAGTCGGTGAATGCTGCTCAAGTGAATACTGAGTTTCAAAGCCCGATAGCTCACGGGTGATACGTCTGTTGTTGTTGAACGCACAAACTCATTGATGCCATACCTGCGAATCAAAAAATGTAATGGTGGAATTCAGAGGTGAAATAATCCCTTTGGTTTCCTTTCTTTTGAAGGTAGCTTTGCCGCTAGTCCTAATAATGGAAGATCATCTAAGATGTTCTTTCCAAAGAAATTGTCTGTGCAATGTTTGGGATTACCAATGGCTTCATTTTAGGAAAATATGTTCAACTCCTTTGTTCCATCCCCCAAAATCGTTTTTCTTGGACATCCTAACACAAGAAACCGCTTTGGAGTTCTGAGGTCTAAAAAAATACTAGAGTGCATAGTCAGTAGAGCACCTAGATCATATTTTACCCACGTTTTTGTTTGTATCTGAAGTACAGATGGGACAGTGTCCCCCTGAGGAGCCCGGCAGATATTTCTGACCAAAATTGCCTTTTTCCCCCCCAGATCATGTTATTTTACACAAATGGTATATAAATGTGAATCTGTTTCTACTTTACGTGTT